GGCATAGCGGGAGGGCTACCTGCAGCCCCCCAAGTGCAGGCGGGAGGAGGAGGCCAGACCAGGGCCTCGTCCTAACCGCCCCTCCCCGTGTTCCAGGTGCCCGCCGTCTCCCTGACAGCTGAGGGCAGCCTGGGCCGGGAACCCAACTCAGAGCTCCTGGCATTCTGGGGTGCCCCTGCCCACCCTGGGGGTCACAGCACCCTCCCGCCCTCCTGGCTGGGGCGGCGCCGCAGGGGTGGGGGTGGGCGGGGCGCGCACTCACCCAGGTAGCGTCCCCCGGGCTTGATGACGATGGCGCTGCGGCTGCGCGTCTCCTCCTCCGCCTGCGCCATGCTCTGCCGCGCCTTCTGGTAGGTGCTGGCGGAGCGCCGGGGGCGCCCGGGGGGTGCGGGAGCCCTGGCCCGCGGGGCGCCCGGGCCTCACCTGGACACGTATTGCTGGATGCAGTCGAAGCTGCCCTGCGGGCTGTCGCGGCCGATGTTGGAGAGGTAGAAGGAGAAGGTCCGCGCCTCGGCCGGGCAGTCGGGCTGCGGGATGGAGATGCGCTGCGCGGGAGGGAGGGAGGGTGTCACCGCGACGTCCCGTGCTCGAGTCCCCACCGCCGGGCCCTCGCACCAGGGCCACCCCTTTGTTTCTTTTAAGAATTATTTTAGAGGGACCAGCAGTTGGCATAATGGCTATGTCGCTGGACTCCCATGTAGTCGACCCCGGTTCACGTCCCGGACCCGGTGGCTTAAACTCACGCCAGGTGCGTGTGCGTGCGTGCCCAAGATCCCGAGAGGAGAATGGAGGAGAAGGGATTGTGGCGTGGCCATCCCCCTGGGGGTGATTTCTCGCTTTCTGTCTCTCTGTTTCTTTCTGGGCAGTGCACGCGCCCTATAGTAAAAAACCTCTCCAAAAAAAAAAAAGAGGAATTATTTCATTTGGGGGCCAGCAGGTGGCGTGGTGGTTAAGGCTCTGAGCACTCCTACGTGGCTGACCATGGTTCGAGTCCTGAACCTGGTGGCTCACTTTCTCAATTACCCTCTCTCTATATATTTATTTATTTATTATTAATTCTGAACAGAGAGGGACAGAACCAGAGAGAGATAAAGGGAAAGTGAGAAAGCAAGCCTCCGGGTCTGGGACTCCAACCGTGATTGGCTATGTGGGAGTCCAGTGCCCTTAACGGCCATGCCAGCACACCCACCTTTTCCTTTTTTTTAAGAGGTTCTGGCTATAGGGCACATGTGCTCACCAGAAAGAGAGAGAGAGACAGAGAGACAGAAAGCACGAAATGACCCCCTAGGGGAGACGGCCATGCTGCAATCCCTTCTCCTCCATTCTCCTCTCGGGATCTTGGGCACGCACGCACACGCGCCCGGCGTGAGTTTAAGCTGCAGGGTCCAGGATTTGAACCGCGTTCAACAACATGGGAGTCCAGTGACATAGCCATTACGCTATCTGCTGGTCCCTACAATAATTCTTAAAAGGGCACTTTAGGAGGTCAGTGGTGGCATGGGGTCATACAACGGACCCAAACAGGAAAGGCTCTCGATCTGCACCCTGAGACCTTCCTAAGCACACGGGGAAATGAGAAATGTGTTTGCAATCCAGGCTGGCTGAGAGGGGCTGTGGATCGTGGCGTGACAACTCTGCTGGTAGTGGTGGTAAGGGGGTCCCTATCTCCCTGACGGCAGGAAGAAATGAATGAATGATCCTGTTGACGGCGGGAAGGTTAAGGCAGCTGGATCCCACGGGGCCAACTCTGTGGTTCGAGTCCAGGACCCGGTGGCTTTAAAAACATGCAGGGCGAGTGGGTGTGCAGACCCAAAAATCCCAAGAGGAGAATGGAAGAAAAGGGATGGCGGCATGGCCACCCCGACCCCGGGGGTGATTCCTCACTGCGGTTTTCTCTGTCGAGCACACATGTAGTAAAAATCAGAAGAGAAAAAGACTCGGGCTGGCAGGTGGCGTGGTGGTTACAGGCACTGGACTACGTGGCCTACCATGGTTCGAGTCCCGGACCTGGTGGCTTGCTTTCTCACTTTGCTGACTCTCGTACATGCGCTCTCTCACTGTCTCGCTCTGTCCCTCTCTGGTCAAATAAAATAAATAAAGCTAAATCAAATTAATTTTAAAAAAAGCAAAGAAAAGAAAACAACTGCCATGTTATGAAAGGCTAAGGTGGCCCACCTGGGCCTGGAAGCCTTGACCACAGAGAGTCTCTGTCTCATGTAGCGTCTGAGACCTCCATGTTCTGCTGGGAGAGAGAGTGTGTGTGTGTGTGGGGGGGCGGGTGGCGGCAAGTGACAACAGAGTAAACAGTGTCCTGTCTCCACAAACTGCTTGGACAATTGACCTCATTCATGAAATGCCACACTGTCCACAAACCATTGATAGGAACTGGCCAGAACAGGCCGATCCAGAGACAGGAGGTCGATGAGGAGCCGCCAGGGGCTGTGGGGGCTGGATGGGGAGGGGCCGCTGCTGGCGACTGGGTTCTCTCCTTTTGCTTTTTTTTGAGAGGTTTTTGCTATAGGGCACGTGCGCTCGCCAGAAAGACAGAGAGAGAGAGACAGAGAGACAGAAAGTGAGAAATCACCCCCCAGGGGGGATGGCCACGCCACAATCCCTTCTCCTCCATTCTCCTCTCGGGATCTTGGGCACGCATGCACAGGCGCCCGGCGTGAGTTTAAGCCACCGGGTCCGGGACTCAAACTGCCGTTGACTACATGGGAGTCCAGCGATGTAGCCATTACGTCAACTGCTGGTCCCAAGGAATGGGGTTCTCTTTTAGAGAGATAAAATGCTTCGGAACTGAGCAGGGTGACAGTTACAGAATTCTGTAAATACACTAAGATCCGCTATACCATATAGTTGAAATGGGTGAATTATATGTTATGTGAATTATGTCTCTATAATAAAGCTATCAGGTTACTGAGAAAAAGCATGATGCCTTTTTTTTTTTTTTCAGAGAGGTTTTTGCCATAGGGCAAATGCGATCGCCAAACAGAGAGAGACAGAGAGCAAGAAGTCACCCCCCGGGGGGGATGGCCACGCTGCAATCCCTTCTCTTCCCAGGATCTTGGGTACACACACACCCCTAGTGTGATTTTCAAGCTACCGGGTCCAGCACTCAAATCAAGGTTGGCTATGCGGGAGTCCAGCCACATAATTGTTATGCCATCTGCTGGCCCAAGGATTTATGATTTTTAAAAAATTAAACAACTGAGGGCCAGCAGGTGGCATGGTGGTTAAGATGCTGGACACTCATGGCCAACCACAGTTCGAGTCCTGGACCTGGTGGCTTGCTACCTCACTGTCCCTCTCTCTCTGGTCAAATTAAAATGAATGAATAAATAAAATTAAATAAATAATTTGAAAAGAAATGAAAAAACCCTTTATCTCTGGTGAAGGGTACTGGAAGACAAGAAATTCAGGAGAAGAGCAAAATCTACTTTTCACCTCTTTCTTTTGTGATAAGACAGAGTCGAGAATGGTCTCGAATGATTCCTTCCTCCTGGCAGTCACATGCTGTGTAACCTCCCCGGAGCACGGGCAGGACCCGTGGTGTGCTTCTGATCCGTAGAACACAGGGGAGGGGAGGGGATGTCACTGCTATGATTGGGTAACATACAATAGTGACTTGTCTCTTACCAGCAGTCTCTCCATCTCCCGCTCTCTCTCTCTCCTCTGTGGATCAAGCTGTTGTAACTGTAGAGACCCAATTGCAAGGAGCTGACAGTGGCCTCCAGCCAAGGACCAGCAAGAAACAGGCCCTTAGTCGAAAGCCCTTGACGAACTGAATTCTGATAACATGGGGGCCTGAAAGCAGTCACACCTCGGATGAGCCTTCGGTTGAGACTCCAGCCCTGGGTGATACCCTCATTGCAGTCTTTTGAATCAGAGGATGCAGTTAAGCTATGTCCAAATTCCTGACCCATACAAACTAAAAGATAATAAACATATGCATGTTCTTGTGTGTGTGTGTGTGTGTGTGTGTGTGTGTGTGTGTGTAGTTTTGGTACAGGGCAGCTGCACTCACCAGAGAGACAGACAGAGGGAAAGTGAGCCGCCCCATGGGCATTATTTTTAAAAAGAATTATTTCTTTATTCATTTTAATTTGACCGGAGATAGAGACAGAGAGAGAGAGAAAGGAAGTGAGAAAGCAAGTCCTCCCCACAAGGTTTTTAAAAAATTATTATTTAGTTTTATTTATTCATCATTCTTTTCTTTAATTTGAGGGGGGGGGGAAACAAAGGAAGCTTCCAGGTCTGGGATTCGAACCATGGTTAGCCATGTGGGAGTGTCCAGCACCTTAATCACCGCAACACTTGCTGGTTCCCCCCCCATATGACTTTTAAGGAGGCTGCTGGGTCTGGGACTCGAACCACGGAGTCAGCCATGTGGGACCCAGCTCTCTCTAGCTCCTTAATCACCACGCCATCTGCTGGTCCAGGATTATACTTTTGGGATTTTGATCTTTCAGGATTTTCGATTTCAGGGACATGGTGCATGGTGCTCCGGGCCACGATCCCCAGGAACCGAGCGCTCCGAAGCGCTGGAGTCTTGGCCCGTGCAGTGAGGCAGCCCTAACCTATCCAGGCCACCTGGGCAGCACGGCCTTGGAACCTGCAGCCCAGAGCAGACACGCTGCTGAATGAACCCAAGCCGTCTCCCGCGGGGCTCTCACCCCCCAGCTCGCTAGCTCGCAAGGAAGCAGCCAGGCCCCAAGTGCCCTTTAATTCCCTGCACGCTGGGGCGGGCGGGGCTTCCCCACTGCTCAGGATCGGGCTGCAATGGTGCAGCGCGACCGCGGGACACCAGGGGGCGCCGTGGGGCCAGGCAGGCGCCAGCCCGGGGCCGGCTCCCGCTGCAGCCGCTGCTGCCGCCCTGACTCCGTGGAGAACGTCCTGGAGGAGGTGAGGGGAGGTGGCAGGAGCGTGAACGCAGACACAGGGGGCAGACCCAGGGCAAGTGGGGTCAGGTGTGAACGACGAGGCCGCGGCCCCCAGGGATCCGCTGTTGGGCCAGCGAGTCCAGGCCTGCCGTGGGGGTGTTCTGTCCACGTGTTGGCCACCCCAAACCAGAAGGGCGTTAACTGGCAAGGGAGCTGACCCTCGGCCTGGTGGCTCCAGGCACTCAGCTGAAAGGCCTTAGGAGGGAAACGGAGGACTCCCGGGGAGGAGAAACCCCTGCCCCTGGCCTGCCCTGCAGGTGTCAGATCCATCGCCCCACACCTGTGTGCATCTTTTTTTTTTTTGGACAGGTTTTTGCTATAGGGCACGTGGGCTCGACAGAGACAGAGAGACGGAGAGACAGAAAGCGAGAAATCACCCCCCAGGGGGGATGGTCATGCCGCAATCCCTTCTCCTCCATTCTCCTCTCGGGATCTTGGGCACGCACGCACACGCGCCCGGCGTGAGTTTAAGCTGCAGGGTCCGGGATTTGAACCGCGTTCGACTACACGGGAGTCCAGTGACATAGCCATTACGCTATCTGCTGGTCCCTAAAATAATTCTTAAAAGGGCACTTTAGGAGGTCAGTGGTGGCATGGGGTCATTATACTCTGTGTGTGTGTGTGTGTGTGTGTGTGTGTGTGTTTGTAGCCGGAGAGACAGAGTAAGAAAATGAGAAGATAAGCTGCCAGGTCTGGGACCCGAACCGTGATCAGCCATGTGGGAGTCCAGTGCCCTTAACCACCATGCCATCGGCTGGTCCCACCCGTGTGCACCTCTTCACGTTTGCACACACACACACACACACTCATCTCGCAGTGCTGCATCCCGGCTGCCACTTCCCCAAGTTAACACCTGGAACCCCACAGATGACCAGACCCTGGATCCTCTGCCCTTCTCGGGCTGGGATCCCGCAAGGAGCCCACAGGCAGTCAGGTGGAAACTCACTTGGGTACAAGGCAGATACTCTTTGAAAAACCAACAGGTGGCGTGGTGGCTAAGGCTCTGGATCCTACAGGGTTGATTGAGCGATTCAAGTCCCAGACCCGGCAGCTTGAAACTCACGTCAGACGTGTGTGCGTGCATGCCCAAAAGCCCAAGAAGAGAATGGAGGAGAAGGGACTGCAGCGTGACCATGCCCCATGGGGGGTGATTTCTCACTGTCTTTCTGGTGAGCACACACGCCTTATAGTAAAAACCTCTCCAAAAACAAAAGCTAATAACAACAAATGAAATTAAATAACTAATTAAAACAAATAAACAAGAAACAAATAACAATCCAGACCAACAAGACTCACCCCTTGGCTTCCTTGAAAGCGGATTGACGGTCTCAGCGAAATAGAATCCTACGAGGCAACAAAAGAGACAGCGTCAGGAAAGCTCCGTGGCCATCCAGGCACTTGAATGCCACGATCGGGGCCAGGACAAGGGCACGAGAAAACACAGGTCTGAAAATCATCGGGCGGGCTCTGAGAACAGGGTTTTGAAGGATCAATAGGAGTTCCTCAGAGGGACACAGGGCTGGGGCCGCATCACAGGAAAGAGCTGAGCCTCAAGACACGGCAACAGGCCACCTCGATGGGGAGGCTGGCAGCAGGCCGGGACGCCAGGAAGCCATTGCTGGGCTGTGACTCTCACGGTGGGAGGGCCCACCTCTGAGTGGCTATGGCCCTCACCAGGGCAGGACAGGGCCAAGCTGGCCCACAGCTCCAAGGCCCTGCCCAAGCCCCTCTGTCCTCCCACCCTGGCCCGTCCCTAGGAAACCAGGTGGACGGGAACCAGGCACCGCTTGCCAGAGTGGAGTGGAGGAGCCGGCTGGAATGCGGGGCACTGGCTGCCAGGAGATGCCCTGACGGGATGGGGCCTGCCACCTGCCAGGCTCCCATGTCACCGCGTCAGAGCGCCTTGTCACCGTACTTGGGACAGCAGGATTTCCAGAGAAAACAAATACCGAAAAGCTCAAAATGACTTTGCGGCTATCCGGAGATCGGCCCCCGGAGCGCATCGTGCACGAGCTGACCCGGCAGGACAGCGGCGGCTTCCCCCCTCTCCCACCCGGGCCTGAGCACCCAGCTCGGTGTCCCCACCGCCATCCCAGCTCACGCAGCCCCCGGAGCCGCCCCTCAGGCCTCAGCTCTGGCCCCCTAGGGAGGACAGGCCCTGGGCCGTGGCACAGCTTTGCCGGCGTCTGGGCGGCTCTCTGTCCATCATCGCCCACAGCTGGGGCGCAGTCGCCGGTGTCACAGGTGGGACAGGAACTGAGGTGATGGCCGACTTGGCTGTCCCGGGGCAAGGCAGAGCCCAGGACTCTGGCTTGAGCCCGTACATGGGGCCTGCCCAGGCCATGCAGCGGCTGCAGGAGGGGGCACGAGCAGGCTGGGCCAGCCAGCACGCGGCCCTGCTCCTCCGGTGCCAACTCTGGACCCCACGAGCATGGTGCCAGGGCACACTCAGGGCCCACCTTAGTCCACCAGAATGACTGGGACAGACCCACGGGGTCGCACCCCAATGGTCGGATGCCACACACCAGCACATACCCCCATGGAACCTGCTGCCCTAGAACTGCCCCACAATTCCATAGTGCACCGCCCCACCAGCCCCGGGGTCGCTCCAGGGAAAACGGATTTGGGAGACAGATGTTGCCACGATGCCCCTTCCATGTACAGTCTGGGACAGGACAAACACCGGCCTGTGCCAACACTTTAAGGATGGGAAGCACATGGGACTAACAGCGTAATGGCTATGTTGCTGAACTCCCATATAGTTGACCGTGGTTCGGGTCCCGGACCCGGTGGCTTAAAGCTCACACCGGGCGCGTGTGCGTGTGTGCCCAAGATCCCGAGAGGAGAATGGAGGAGAAGGGATTGCGGCGTGGCCATCCCCCCTGGGGGGTGATTTCTCACTTTCTGTCTCTCTGTCTCTCTCTGTCTGTCTGGCGAGCGCACGTGCCCTATAGCAAAAACCTCTCAAAGAAAAAAAAAAAATGAAAGGAAGCACCTGGAAAAGGAGGGACATATGTTTCTATTGTTTTGCTTCGTTTTTGTTTACTTGTTTTTAAAGAATTATTTATTTTCTTCCATGTATTATTATTACTTTTTAAAGAATTATTTCTTTTATTTTATTTATCATTATTGCTGTTTTTAACATGACCAGAGAGAGCGAGAGAGAGAGAAAGCTGCCAGGTCTGGGACTCGAACTGAGTCACGTGGGAGTCCAGCGCCTTTATCCACACCACCTGCCAGCCCGGGGACATGGTTTTTAAGTGACTTGGGACAAAGTTAAGGTCAGACATTGAAAAGAGACCAGTAGGGGCCGGCAGGTGGTGTGGTGGTTAAAGGAGTTGGATTCTCACATGGACAAGTGTGGTCCGGGTCCCCGACCTGGAGGCTTTCTCTATCAGATAAATGCAGTTAGGGAACCAGCAGTTAGCGTCATGGCTATGTCGCTGGACTCCCACGTAGTCGACCACGGTTCGCGTCCTGGACCCAACTGCTGCAACTCTAACCACACTGGGTCCAAATCTTCCTAGGAAGATTTACAGCACTACTGAGATTATTGTCTCAAAAATGGCTCAAATGCTGGAGGAAAGATGGATTACTTACTGAAATAAATGGCTTACTATTTTGAATTTAGCAAACCCTTCTTTTCTTGTTTTTATTTTTTTCTTGACTTTGCATTCCCGAGAGACAGAAAGAGAAACTGAGAGGGAAAGTGAGAAATTACCCTCTGGGAGAATAGTCAAACTGTGTTCCCTTTTCCTCCACTCTCCCCTTGGGATTTTGGGCATGCACACACATGTGCCTAGAATTATGTTTCAAGCCTCCAGGTCCGGGACTTGAACTGTGGTCGGCCATGTGGAAATCCAGCGCCCTTAACCACCATGCCATCTGCTGGCTCCTTGGTAAGGACTTTTAATGCACGAGTGTGTGATGGGTGAGAAGGAACCAGTGGAGATACGAGGACCACACAGAGCGAAGCAGACAGGAAGGCGAGGCAGCCCGGCTGTGCTCACTCCCAGGCCCTCCGCGGCCTCCCTGCAGGTGCAAAGCCCAGGGCAGGCACTCGAGGAGCCAACACCTCGCACTGGGGTGGGCCCGGGACCAACTTTACCACCGCGCCCGCTGTCCACACGTGCTGAGGCCCATTGGGTGTTCGCAGCTGTGCCCCTGGTGATGACGGCGGGGCCAGGTGTGGGTGTACAGCTCCACGTTCACCCCGAGGAACGGTCCCGGGGCAGTCCCTGTGCCGACAATGACAAAGCGGGCTGGAGCCCTCGCACACTCCGTGTAGAACATCTACCAGGTCCAGGGAGCTGGCTGTCACCCAGGTTATCGGGAAGACCTTCCCCCACAAAACTCACACGTTCCCCAAGAGGACACAGAAGCACACTTTTTTCAGAGAGGTTTTTGCTATAGGGTGTGTGCACTCACCAGAGAGAGACAGAGAGATAGAAAGTGAGATATCACCCCCCAGGGGGGATGGCCATACCACAATCTCTTCTCCTCCATTCTCCTCTTGGGATCTTGGGCACGCACGCACACGCGCATGGCGTGAGTTTAAGCCACCGGGTTCGGGACTCGAACCGCAGTTGACTACGTGGGAGTCCAGCGACATTACACAGCATCTGCCAGTCCCAAGGGCCCCACCTGTGAGACACTGGAACCCACGGAGCAGCCGCCCTCACCTCGCGTCTGGAAACGGACACACCTGATGGCGGAGGCTGGCTCACCAGGGCCCTCGGCCAGGCGTCCAACAGCTGGTCGCACCAGAGCCCGTGTGCTGAAAGCTGGTGGCCGACAGCCGGCATCGGGGCTCCCCCTCCAGCAGGTGGTCCAGTTACCCAGCTGGCCTGGCTGGGCCTCGCCCCGGCAGCGCGTCCATCCCGGGGCTGTTCCAGTCCGGCCTGGCCGTGGTCCTCGTCCCATCGGGCTGGGCCGTCTCAGGTAGGCTGACTCTGTGTACACGCGAGGCCTGTGAGCGAGCTGCCCACGCATGCCGGGTGCCCGCTGGAGGGTTTCGAGGACAAAACACGGGCTTGGCTGACACTGCCCAGCCGGGAGGCCAGTCTGGTTGTGGAGGATTGTGCCCTGGCACCTGTCATCCCACCAGGCAGATGGCCAGCAATATAGTTTCCATTTTTCAGTCTTTTACAGAAGAGCACATACACTTGCCAGAGACAGAGACGGAGCAAGAGACAGAGAGACAGAAAGCAAGAAATCACCCCCCAGGGGGAATGGCCACGCCGCAATCCCTTCTCCTCCATCCTCCTCTCCGGATTGTGGGCACGCACCCATGCAACCTGTTTTTTCTTTTTTTTAATCAAGCCACTGGGTCTGAGACTTGAACCAACGGAGTTGGCCATGTGGGATCCAAGGCCTTAATTACCATGCCACCTGCGGGCCCCACCGGCAATCTTTTTTTTAAATATTTAATTTAATTTAATTAATTTATTTAAATTTGATGTGAAAGAGAGAGAGAGAGAGGGAGAGAGAGAGCGAGAGCGAGAGAGGGCGGGCAAGCTGTCAGGAAGCTGTCAGGTCCAGGACTTGAACCATGGTCGGCCATGTGCGAGTCCAGCACCCTTAACCACCATGCCACGTGCTGGTCCCAGCAACATTTTTTTTAAAAAAGAATTATTGTATTTTAACTTTATTTTAATTTGACCGGAGAGGGGCAGAGAAAAAGTGAGAAATCAAGTTGCCAGGTCTGGGACATGAACCGTAGTGAGCCACGTGGGAGTTCAGGGCCCTCAACTACCACACCACCTGCCGACTCCACACCAGCAACCTTTGTTTTTGAGAGAGTTTTTGGTATTGGACACATACATATATTTTTGTTAGAGGGCACTTGCCAGAGAGACAGAGAAACCAAGAAATCACCCCCTGCGGGGATGGCCATGCCACAATCTCTTCTCCTCCATTCTCCTCTCAGGTTTTTGGACACACAGACACACACAGAGTGTGAGTTTCAAACCTCCAGCTCCAGGACTTGAACCACAATCAGCCACGTGGGAGTCCAGTGACGGAACCACTATGCCACCTGCCATATTGTTCTTTACTTAGCATTATTAAAGAAAAATAGGTTAAAGAAAAATATTACTAAAAGAAATATTTAAACTATTATTCAAGAAAAAAAAAATTCTTATTTTAAATTTGACCAGAGAGAGAAAGGGAAAGCAGAAAAGCAAGCCGCCAGATGTGTCCGGGATTCGAACTGCCACGTGGGATCCCAGCACCTTTAGTATGACCTCCATGGCACTTGCTGGCTGCCCTAGTCATATTTTTTAAAAAGTGTATTCCTTGTGAGAAACGGGCAGGTACAAACACTACCTCGGCGGGGTCCCACA